ACTTCCAGTTGCCCCGTCTGGCCACCCTCCAGACGGCATGAGACTGGGGCCCCATTGCTTCTCATCTTTCCCTGTGTCACCTCCTGCTTCCCTCTTCTCTCGCCCGGATTTCGCCCTGTGCCCCCACTTGCTGGGCACACTACACCTGGAGGTGAGATCGCTTGGTGGGCGCCAACCTGGCTTGCGCTCTGTGGCGCTAGTGACTGCACCCTCCTACACCTTTGCACTCAGGACCTCACCGTTGAATGAATGAACGTAAGAAAATGGTTCCAGCTGTGTGTGGCTCATCACTTGGGAAGGTGACTGGTATCGAATCTTGTCATTGTGGGTGCCTCTGGTAGGGAAGGCCGGCTCTCTCTCTGCTCACCTCCTTCTCTGGTCATTTCAGCTGGGCTCCCAGCTGCCCATGAGAGATGGCTCTTCCCAGCCTCCCTTCCAGCCTGGACATGGCCATGAGCCTAGACACGGTCTGTGGGAGTGAGCAAGAGTGCCGTGTGCAGTTGTGAACCACACCTTACAGGGCGAGGGTGTGCCCTCCCCAGTCCCCCTCCATCTTCTCAAGTCGGGGAGTGCCATCTGGGACTCCTCAGAGGAGGGCAACAGTTTGGGTATAGAAAAATCCTGGCCTGGCCAGGCGCGGTGGCTCACGCCTATAATCCCAGCATTTTGGGAGGCCGAGGTGAGAGGATCGCCTGAGCCTATGGTCTCGAGACCAGCCCTGGCAACTTGGTGAGACCTCATCTCTACAATAAATTTAAAAATTAGCTGGGCATGGTGGCGCCTGTAGTTCCAGCTACTTGGAAGGCTGAGGCGGAAGGATCGCCTGAGCCCTGTGGGTCGAGGTTGTGGTGGCCGGGAGCATGCCACTGCCCTCCAACCTGGGTGACAAAGTGAGACTCCAACTCAAAAATTAAAAAAAAAAATCCTAGCCTGGTCGAGCCCAGCAGCTCACACCTGTCATCCCAGCACTTTGGGAGGCCGAGGTGAGAGGATTGCCTGAGCCCACGGGTTTAAGACCTGCCTGGGCAACTTGGCGAGACCTTGTCTGTACAATAAACCAAAAAATTAGCCAGGCGTGGTGGTGTGTGCCTGTAGTTCCAGCTACTTGGAAGGCTGAGGTGAAAGGATTGCCTGAGCCCAGCAGGTCGAGGTTGTGGTAGCTATGAGGTTGTCACTGGACTCCAGCCTGGGCGACAAAGTGAGATTCCAACTCAAATAAAAATAAAAATAAATAAATAAAAATTAACCCCATGTGGTGACTTACACCTGTGGTTCCAGATACCTGGGAGCCTGAGGCAGAAGGATTGCCTGAGACAGCAGGTCAAGGCTGTGGTGGCATGAGCATTCCACTGCACTCCAGTCTGGGTGACAGAGTGAGAATAATAAAAAAAAAAAAGGCCAAGTGTGGTAGCTCAGGCCTCTAATCCCAGCACTTTGGGAGGTGAAAGCAAGAGGATTGCCTGATCCCACGGGTTTGAGACCAGCCTGGGCAACATGGTAAGACCTTGTCTCTATAATAAGTCAAAAAATCAGCTGGGCCTTGGTTGTGTGCGCCTGTGGTTCCAGCTACTTGGAAGGCTGAGGAGGGAGGATCACCTGAGCTCAGCAGGTCGAGGCTGCGG